TAAGTCACATAGTCATAACTGTCACAATTCTTTTACTAAATCAATGTACTCAATGAGCCATCTTTTAAAAAATTTAACTTAATTTTGCAGTACTAGGGATTCAACACAGGAACTGCACACTGAGATATAACCCCTAGTCTTGTAAAATTTGTTTTGAATCCCAGTGGTGCCTCCATAAAAAAAAAAGTAAAATAAAATTTGTTTTGAGACAAGGTCACTAAATCTGCCCAGGCTAGGCTTGAACCTGACATCCTCCTGCCTGCTAGTATGCTGGGATTATAGGAGTGTGCCACTCCTAAATCTTTTATCTCATTTAAGTAGATCATACTTAAGAATTGTGAAGGATGCTTGAGAATATCAGTTAATAGAATTATATTTACAATCCAAGATAAAAATTTAAAGAAAAATCTACAAATAAGTAACCCTCTTTTCCTGTGGTGGGTATATGGATCATTGCTCTTTGGTTCCCACATGCTTTAGTCTCATACATTGGCCACAGGGCTCCTGCTACACAGTATAGCTTTGTCATAGCACTAAGCCTTGGTTACTGAGCACCTTGTCCACAGCATACTTTCAGTTACAGTACATCTTGGTGACAATGTGCTTGCTTTCCTATGTCTATCTATGTGGGTGAATGCTCCTCACTTTTTTCTAGTGTTTATTTCACTTACAAACCTTATATAATTCATTATATTACTGGCATGGGTCAAGACAGAGTAAGCAAACTAGTTCTTGGGTGCTTAATTGGTATTAATGTTGGTACCATCAAGAGAAAGTGGAGACAATTCTAATTTGCAACATGTATGACAGATAGTTTTAATTTTGGAAAACTTGCTTTTGAACTTTCTTAATTAAATATATTCTTAAGAGAATATCATCATTTTTTGATTTCTAATTTTTCAAGAAAGAAAAAAATAGGAGACAGGTTTTTCTTAAAAAATAGAGACCTCTTGTGGTCATTCATAAAAGTGTTTTAAAAAACAATTTTACATGACTTCCAATTTGTCAGGTTTCAAGATCTCTGGCTTAGTTGACAGTCGTTTAAAAAATATAAGAATTACCTAATACCTACAAAGAATTTTACATAATGGTAACTACATAGATAGCCAAAAATGTATGCATCAAGAAAAAAACTTGTGTGAATATTTTAATATGAAATTTATTGAAAGGGATTAATTGTGAGATTAATACAAGTTAATTTTGTCCTCTGCAATTATAGGAGGTGCTCAAAGTGGTGGCTATCAACTTCCAGACACTTATTAGTAAGGCAAATTGCATATAATATATATATATATGTATATATATCATTCTGAATATATATAATTCAACCATAACAATACTAAATGATATATTAAAACTTTATTATCAATTTATGGAAGCATAAAACATAGAACATGTAGGGAAAGCACGCAGACCATAACTGTCTAGGAACTTTCAGGGAACCTTCTCAAACTGAGTATGTATGTGTAGCCAGACTATCTCATAGATTTTTTTTTGGGATACCATTGTACTATGAAGCCCAGGCAGGCCTCAAACTCATGATTTAGCCAAGTGCTAAGATTCCTGGTATGAGCCAATATGTCTAGATAACATCTAGTAGGTTATAATTTTTTAAGACGACACAGGCTCAAAGAAATTATGTGATTTGTTGTTTTATAGCAATGAAATCCAAATGAAATCTCTTTAGACATTATTCACCCAGAAATATTTAAATGACAGGAAACTATAATAACTGTTATTATAAAGGACTATCAATTTACAGAGATGTTAGCGTCAATCCATATTTGTAAATATCAAATTTTATTAAATGAAATTATCTTTACTCATAGAATTTCTAGAGACAGACTGCAATTGATTATTGGTTATTGTTGTTGCTGTTGTTGTCAGCTGTATTTTTTTCTCCAACAAGCAATTCAAACATATTATTTTGGGCTCTTGGGGATACTAAAATGAATGTGAGGCCCTTTCCTTTCAGTCTAATGTGTACGGAAGCCATACAAACAATAGTTTGAAGCTTTAGTTTGACAAGAGCTCTGATAGAAATGTATATACCTAACTGGACTTACTTCTAAAAATTTCTAAAAATGTGGTTGTGTTTTCCCAGAAGTCCACTCCAGGTTGGCAATAGCTTGAAAAGCCACAGCTTTTTATCCTTGGTTCAGAGCTAGAAAATAATACTTGACTAATAGTCAGGACATTCACATTTAAATTATGACTCTGTCACTAGCTCAAGGATACTGAACTAGTTTCATAATTAGTGAACTTTATTTCCTCAGCTATCAACTGGGGATGATAGCTATCTCACAGGCTGCCATTAAAACCAAAGGAGACTGTAAAAATATGATTGGTCCCCTTCAGGTACAAAGATTCTAGCTTGTGCATTAATAATAAACACCAGTGGAAAGATGTAGTTCATGTACTTTACTAAAAGTTCATGATTTGGGTACAGGAAAGAGGTGCCCATGACAGTGCTAAGTGTTTGATAGTGGACAGAGAGATGTGTGCATACCCACTTTCTCTCTAAGCACAATGAAGACAATGGAAGGCACAAAAGGTAATCAGTGTTTGAGAAATGGAGAAGGAAGAATGAAAGCTGGTTGGGACCACAAAAAGTAATTAACAGATTTGTATAAAATTTGTGTACTCGTTCACGGAGGTACCTAGAGTTCTCCTGATTATTATCATCATAAAACCATTTATTAAATACTAATAAGATAGATATATTTAGTGGTGGGGGATAAATGTTTGATAACCAAATCTCTGGGAAAAATAAACATGTTATAATTTACTGGTACCATTTACTCATTTCTTTGGTAAAAATACTATAATCAACTTGCAGCTAACATAATACTGAACAGGAGTTAGGAAGAGACACGTAATAGTACACTCTTACACTATTTCTATCTGGTTGGTATAATAGTCATAAACTCCAAAGAACATAGACAGCAATACACAAAGTAATTACAAAGTGATAAGCTTTGCATATTTTTAGCATTAACACTAATTAGTTAGATGATATTCAATGACTTAATTTTTAATATGTTTGGGCTGAAGAACCCAGCTTGCAAAATTCCTCAAAATTTAAGTTAAGTACAACATGCCAGTGACAGCACAATACTGAATATATTGCTAATTGCATAGTATGGCATAGTTTATTGTAAAAATTATCACCTTTTCTGGGAAACTCATCTATATTAGGTGTCTTTACTTTCTAGATATCAAAACAATTACCCCAGGATACTGAAATTTCATTTCTCTTCCTCCACACTTGAGTTCTCTAGGGTCAGGGACTATAACTTGTGACTTCATGTCTTCTGCATCTAGCACTGTGCCTATAAATATAGGGCTCAATAAACATATCCACTGATAATCTACCTGGATCTGGCTCCTGGCCCTTCAGGAGCTCACAACAATGTGATGATGTACAAAGACACACAGACACTAAATACACAGACAATTTAGTGGACATTCTGAATAAACGTGAATTAGTAATAAGATCTTTTTTACTGACAGAGGGGCTTTTACTGAGGTGGAAAATAAAAGGTTATAGATGATTGAGAGTAGATACAGCAGTTCTTCGATCTGTGTAATGATATTCTTTTAATGTGCAGGTTTTTAAGAGACAAAAGCAACACATATTCACTGTAGAAAAATTAGGATATATAGAAGCATAAAGACATTTTGTTTAAGAAGTGTGACATTAGGATACGTTAGGAAGTACCAAATAACACTGCCTTAAACAAGACCCTTATTTCTTCTTTAAGTAAAAGTGAATATTATAGATTGAGGTTGGTATAATAGTTCTGCTCTCCACCATCTTCAGAGGCTCAAATTGATACCCTGCTCAGGGCTTAGCCACCATAGATTGTTGACCCTACTGTCTGATCTTCCAACTCAGCATCTGCTTTTCTGGGAGCAGCACAGCGAATGGGATGAAGTGGTATAGGAAGAATTCTTAGAACTTGCTTCATGGACACCAGCTTGTTAGAATATAGTCACAAGGTCATGTTTAACTGCAATGGCATCTGGGAAATGTAGTCTTTATTCTCAGCAGCCACGTGCTCAGCTAAAATTTCTATTAACCATTAAAGAAGGGGAAAATAGATTTTTAGGATCAAGTATCAGAGTTTGAGACAGTTTCCCTAGTTAAAGAGAAATTCCTAGGTTGGAAGGCAAGCCCATTTTAAAGGGTTGTTTTTTTTGATGCATTTTGCTAAGTTACTCTTTAGACACTCTACATATTTACATTCACAATGACATGTGACTAGTACTTACTACTACTTATTCAGTAATCCATCATTTCACTTTTTATTCACTATCTGGTTTTGTTGGAGAAGAATATGTGATAAAAAGTTTTGAGTGATAGACCAGAACTTTATTATTAGGAAGCTTTCAGCTGCAAGATAATCTAAAAGAGCATTGCATTTATTCAAACATTTAGTGATTTAAGGAAAAGGAACTATATAACATATATTGGAATCTAGAGTTGGATAAGGAGGAATGGGAGAGGAGATTATTGAGGTATAGTCGCTTTTAGTCACTGGACATAATAACCTGATACCCACAGCGTAAAGGTAGAGAAGTTTACTTAAGTCTGTAGTTTCAGGGAATTTAGAACATGGTAGGCTGACTCCAAGGCAGAAACACCATGGCAGAAGGGCATGGAGGAGCCAAGCTGCTAGTTCATGGGGTCTAGGAAGCAGAACCAGAGAACAGAACCAACAGGAAGAAGATAGGGATCATATATGGTACTCAAGGTCATGCCTTCATGACCCCCCTGGACATACTCAGGAATGTTCTTTATTAATCTAGGAATTTCATAATACAATGAAGTTGGCATATCAGGATCGATGGTTATAGTACTATAGCTGTAAAAATTTTGAGGCATAAAAAGATTAAATGTAATATGATGTCCTGTTAATGTCAGTGGAATGGCTTTTACATGTGCTCATCAATTATGATTCTTTCTTTCTTTCTTTTTTTTTTTTTTTTTGAGACAGGGTCTTGTTATGCAGTGTAGGCTGGCCTTGAACTTGCTTGTGTAGCCCAGGCTGGCTTTGAACTCATGGCAATCCTCTTGCCTCAACCTCCTGAGTGCTGGAATTACAGGTGTGTGCCACCATACCCAGCCATCAACTATGATTTTCCAAGCAATATCGTAGGTGCTTTATATACATTATCTGACTGAATACCCAGAGCAGTCTGGGTGAGCATATATTTTATGCACATTCATAGTTTACAAAAGATGAAGTAAAGGCTGAAGAAAGGCCAAGCTAGGGGTGGAGGTTGAATTGAAACTCACTCTCGTATTTAAAAGCTTTGCTCTTTCCTCTCCTATTTTTAAGATCAAACTGATGGGGTTGGGGGCATAACCCAGTGGTAGGTCACATGCTTGTCATACTTCAGGCCTGGTATTCAGCACTTAGTTTTAAAAAATGAATTGATAACAAATTTGGTAAGGAGATCAGTTTTGCTGTAGCATTCATATGAACCCAAGGTTATAAGAAGATATTATGAAGTACTTACGCATTATAAATATTTATACAGAACAACAACAAAAAATGAAATGGTATAAAGGGGAGGAATAACCTCATGGATTTTTGTTTCTTCTGGGAGCTTCCTGTATGTGCTATCTGCCATCCCTTTGTCTCTTGCAGTATTTGCCCTGAGTATAATATTTTTCATATGTTTACTATGAGACAGTTCTTACTTTGTTGTGGCTATTTACTGTTTTATGACTGCCACCAGACATATCTTTGGTGCTAGGTATTAGATCTTGCACATCTATTTCCAAGATCCAAAATATGCCTGGAACTGGAACATAGTAAGTGTTCAAATAATTTTTGTTGGATGAATTATGCAGTAATTTATTTCATGTAACATAATCCCTGAAAGAGGAATTATACCAATTTATAATGATGCCAAATTTTAAGAGGTACAAAATAATGCAGTGGTATGAAACTGTGGTTGACCATGATTATAAAGAGAAAGTTTACAAGGTAGCTGACCTTGTAATAATATTGTGTGCCTACAACATACCAGGCCACTTTGAGTGTTTAATATTTTATTTACTTATTCAATTCTCACAAAAAACCTTATTAGCCAAATAAAATTATCTCTACTTTGAAAATGGAAAAACCAGCACATAACCAAAAGCGAGGCCATTTTGCTCTAAAATTTCTGTTTGGCTATTTTACACTGCCCATGATTATTACTTGTTTTAGTCCCCATGACTCCATAATACCATCTTCTAACTGGTCCTTTTCCCATTGGTTTATCTGCCGCCGGAACTCCTTTTCCACCAAAGGAAGGGGCATAAGTACCTTGGAAAATTGCTGCCTTTATGCTTAAGCAATTTCCAATGCAGATGAATTACATATTGTCACCATTTTTAACTTTCTCACCCAAATAACTAGGAACTCATGTTTTAGAATTTTTTTCCCCTAAAAAAACTCCCGCTTACATCCTGCAGTTTACGCCTGCGAGGGGCCATTTCCCGGGCGCAGACCCGCCTCCCGCTCACTCCCGTGCAGCTTTCTCACCGGCGAAACTACACTTCCCAGAATCCTCTTCGTCGCCGTCGCTCCGTAGGAGGTGTTGGGCGAATCTGCAGACGCTCTGCGAAGCTGCGCGGGTGAGAGAAGCACGGGCCGACCGGCGAGACCCTCTGGCCCTGGCTCATCCCAGATGGCTCGGAGGCAGGACGAACAGCGAGCGGGTGCGCCTTTGATGGCGGAAAGCAAAGCCGAGGCAGAGGTTAAGCTTATTCTGTACCACTGGACGCACTCCTTCAGCTCTCAAAAGGTAAAGGCCTCTGCTGCTGAGGGCGGCGTGCCTCGAGTTTCAGCACCGGACAGCTCCCTCTGGGCCTGACCCAGGGAGGCCAACCTGGCGGGTGGGGCGCCTCCCGTGGGATAGAGATTGCTCCTTGCTGGGGGTGGGGAGAATCCATCTCAGCTGGAAAGGACGCGGACCAAGGACTACCACTCACGAAATGCAACAAAAAGCATCACTTTCAGTATTTGGCCTACAGGCCTAGCCCACTGCCTTCATGCAACCGATTAACCTACGTTCCTCCTTTTATTTACTCTTTCTTCTTCGAATCCGGTCTCAGCAAGGCCTAACTATTCTTCTTAAATGGGGAGGACTCAGAATTAGGCTTAGGACACAAAGCAAATGGTGGTAGCGGGAAGGATGGCTGTATAATGAACATAGCCCGAATCATCTTCATTACGTATTTTGTTTTTGTCTAATTTTAAGGAAAAGACTAGATTATATCTCACTTGTTTATTCTAGGCATTTAAATCCTTTTTAAAAATGTTGAAAATGTTAACACAGGAAGCCCAGAGAGGCTGCTTAGTGATGTCCAGAGAAGTCATTGAATTGAAAACTTTCTTCAGCTATAGTAACGTGTGTGAACTCTTTCAGGTGCGCTTGGTAATTGCTGAAAAGGCATTGAAGTGCGAAGAACATGATGTAAGTCTGCCCCTGAGTGAGCACAATGAACCTTGGTTTATGCGTTTGAACTCAACTGGAGAAGTGCCTGTCCTTATCCACGGGGAAAACATAATTTGTGAGGCCACTCAGATCATTGATTATCTTGAACAGACTTTCCTGGATGGTAATGTTAAGGCTATTTGTGATTTCTTGGATTTATTCTCAACACAAATGTGTTCTTTTTCTTTCTCTCTCTTGTTCTCTTCCTTGCATACTCTCTCTTTCTGGTTTGATGATATGCTTTGATGATAAAAACCTTTTCCATTTCCATAAGCACATAAATATAGGTCAGTATCATAAGTTTCACATAAGCCAATGTAATTCCATTTAAAAAATTTCATTAATGTACAAACATCAATGCTGAAACTTTAAATTCACTTGAAAAAACCTGCAAGTGTGTTGTTTGGAGTAGTCATTTATTAGCCTCAAAGTCAAATTCATCGTATTGATTCTAAATGTACTCTATGAGAAAGAGTTTCATCTATTAAGTGGTTTTATATTAGAAACAAGGGGGAAAAGAACAATAAGTCCTACACAAGAGAAATAGAATGTTAGTATACTTTGAATTCTTGGCCTTAGTTCCTTCTGTGTACTTTAAATTTTTTTAAAAAATCTTTTTTAGGTTTAAAATCTTTTATAAAGTTTAAATTTATATACTGTTTTGAAGTAGTAATCACTTATTGATAGCCTATGTCAGGCATTTTATAATTTCTATTTTAATCTTCTTCCAAAAGAACCCATCTGAGACAGACATGATAGACTATTTCCATTTTGTACTTGAGGGAAGATAAACAGTTACCCAAGATAAGATAGCCATTTAGTGGCATAGTCTTTTGTGTCCAGTCTCTTCGTAGTATACCAGTTGTTTTTGTATTCTTTGCCAGTCACACATTGTCTCACTTGTCTCTGATGAAAACCCATTCAGGTGAATTGTAGCTTCAATTTTTTGGCCAAGAGTACACAGATGGCCCCTGGCAAGAACTGAGAGCAAACAGCCTAGTTCTGCCTCTGTTGATTCTCATCTGAAAAAACAAGCCACATCAATCTAGTTACTTTTCATCTGCAACAAGTTACACTGATGTTAATTGGACAGAATGAAAGCAGAGTGTAACTCATAATAGAGAAAGCTGAAGAAAGGAATTTCTGGCTCAAAACATATCTGGGGTGATGAAAAGAAATACCGGGTGTGGGACCTTAGTAGTAGGGGAACAGGGAACCCCAGGGAATTAGATTAGAAACGTCTATTCTTTCCCCCCCCCCATGAAATGGCAAAGCTACCACTATTTTTGATCTATCAGTTTCCTAGATTCTAAATTCTGATAGGAGATTTTAATTAAAGGCGGCATTGGCCTAATCACTTGGTTTAACGAACTGTTCATTCACTATTACTTGTCATCCCTTATATACTGAGGACTGTAGTGAAAATGGTGGACCCAGTGATTTAGGAAAATTTTTGTGAACTTTGAGCTTTTTGGAAATGGATAAGTCTGTTAATAATTTGTATTTCTTGGGAGAAGTCATTATAAAAACATGAATAAGACAAATGTGTAAGAATTCCATTTTAAATGATCAAAAACTTTACAAATACGCATGTAAAACTTACAATAAATGAAATGTCATATCTAAATCTTTACTTCTCCTCTTTCATCACCACCTCCTCCTTTTGTTTTTTCTCAGAAACCCAGCAGTATAAAATGGGTCTTTACAACATAGTAATATTACTGATCATTAGGTTTTATTAAAAGTTTTCCTGCTTTCTTTTTTGCTTTTGTTAGTAATAACAGAACTGAAATATATTCTGAGTTTGCTAACATGTATTTAGATAACTAATCAAGGGAAATATGAAAATTTTCTTGATTTTTTTTTTTTTATTGAATTAGAGGAGAAGGCACTGTGGCTAAGTGATACAAAGGAAATATGGAAATTTAACAGAGTTCAGTTCCGTTCGTGAGTCCTAGCTTTTAGTCTCATGCTGCTGCTAACTTGCTGAATATCTTTGGTAATTTAATTTTTCTGTTTTCTTTTGTATTAGTTGATACAGTTTTATCAGTTGTAGAGATAAAACAAATCCAACCAATTTTTAGTTCACTTTCTTCTTTCCCTAGAGAGTAATTATCCAATTGGAAAGGATTAAATAGATAAAGAGTCTGTAAATTTATGGTAGATATGAAGACAGCCAAAGGACAATAGTTATATAAATCCAGGCTAGTCCTGTTTACAGGTCAAGATGAGTTTATCTCAGAGTATTGAAACTAAAATATCATAAATGTTATCACAATTGTAATTAAGATACTCATTTTTTAACTTTAAGAACTGACAAGAAATGGAAAAAGAGCCAAAGAAGAGATAGACAAATGTTATCCCAAATGTCAAAGAAAGGGAAAGATGAATTCTACCAATCATTACTGTTTAAATCATATTCCATCCAATGACAACATTGGTGTCACCTGAGAGTGAATTTTATCATCAAATGCAGATTTTAGAGATTACAGCAGATCTTCTGAATTAGAATCGTTTTAATAAGAACACTGGGTGATTTATGTGTACATTAAAGTTTGAGAATGATGCTATAAATTACTGTGTTTACATTTTAAGCACTGCTATAAATCATAGTCTAAGTCTGGAAGAATTCTAGAATAGTTTGCCAAAGGATTTAAAAAAATATTTTCCAGTTGGGTAACTACTCTTCTGGGAAAGAGAAAAGAGTGAAATAAGTTGATTGGATTGTTTTATCTCTGCAACTGATAAAATTGCTAATGGTTAACAAATACGTATTTTAAAATTTTGAGTCTCTTAGTAAAAAAGATTGGCTTAAGTTTTATTTTGCCAGAGAATATCACAAACACTTTTTAAAAACATGTCTATTATCTGCCAACCATGGCTCTAGAAACAGTATAACTTGATAAGGAGAACATTTGAGATTACTTTACAAGAGTAGAGGAGCCAGTTGATAAGCCAATTTCCATATTGAATGTTCTCTAGTGTATTTCTCATACTAGGTTATCCTTCCAGCTGTAGACTCTCATTTTACTTATAATAACTTCTTACCATACTTTATTTTAAATATTTCAGTTACCTGTAGAGCACTTTGAGCACCCATGATGTTAGAGACAATATCTATTAAAATCTGTCTACCCAATGCCTTTAAAAGTGCTTTTAAAGTGAATACCCTTTAATAGATGTTAATAAGTACTTTTTAATGATTAAGATGAACAAATTATTGAAATGGATGGCAGCCTGTTTGAGAATCTTTAGTGGTATTCTTATTTTTTATTTTTATTTTTTCTTCCTGGGATGGAAACCAGTGCCTTAAGCATGCTAGGCTTTACACCCCCTGCTCTCTAGGGATCTTCTTATAGGGTTCTGTTCCTTGAGTTGGGCCTAATATTTACATAAATGACTTGAACAAAGGTATAGAAGTGATGTTATTATATTTTCAAATGACGGAAAAACTAAAATGGTTAAAATGATGACTATTTGATAAAATATTTGTCAGATTAAGAATGAAATAGGAAGAACACTAGGTAAAGTTTAACAAAGCTAATAATGTAATATGTGAATTTTTTAGAAAATTTGGCTGCATTAAGGAATGAGAGAGAGAGAGAGAGAGAGAGAGAGAGAGAGAGAGAGAGAGAGAAGTGCTGATTGTATTTGAAAAAAAGCAGTGGATATCTAAATATTGTTGTAAAAAAAATCTTTGACCATGTGGATACTCTCCAACTGTCTTGGAGGAGGCTAGGGCTAGATTATAGATCTAGGAACTGAAAAATTTTCCTTTAAGGATCTATGAGTAGAATTCAGGAGATTTAAAATCTTCAATGCAGTCCTTTTTTGGTCTTTAATTTTACTTATTTTTAATAGGAATTTATCAGTTTTTTTTCCCACTGTCAGTGTGGGCATAATCATAGCAATATCAGAACTTGCCTGTGACTTTGCTACCAAAAGAAATCATGTATACATTTAGAGGGTATTAAGTTATTGAAGATATCTTGATATTTTTAAATTAGGGTACTTATTAGGTTTCCAACTAGGTCATGTTAATGTGTTAAAAGGTATGTGTATTAGTATTTTATAATTTAAGATTATTTTGGTATACATGCATGCAATCCTATGTTTGTCCTTTGTTTTATGCATTTATGAACACTTTGATTTTGGGAAGAGATCAGTGGCACATTCAAAGTTAAGAATTCCTTAGATTTTAAGGCCTCTGGTATTTCTTCTTTATGGAAATAACTACAGTGCATTGGTTGAAGTCCCAGTAGTGATACTGAGGTCTGGAAAAGTCTGGTTTTAGATGTGTGGCATCTAGAGGCTGGCTGTGGAGTAGGTGACTTGCTTGCCTTTTTTCCCCCTGGGGTCAGCAGTGAAGCATGCTGTGGCTAGATAAGCTCTCTGTGGAGGAGCAGTGTGTAGCCGATGTGTCCTTCTTGGTTATTCTAATACAGATGTTAGTACTGGACTCTCCAACAGGAAATTAAACATTTGTTGACTTTTTTTCCCTGCCTTTTTGAGACAGGGTTTCACCATGCAGTTCAGTGTGGCCTTGAACTTACTTTGTAGCACAGGTTGGCCTCTGACTTGCTATAATTCTCCTGCCTCAATTGAGGGCTGAGATTACCACAGTGTGCCACCATGTTTGACTGGTGACTAGCTTAAAGTATAATCTGTCTTCTTTTTTTCTTGGACAGTTTGGTGGTTTAAAAATCTTGATCTGCTTGGTCTGGCATTAGGAGACTGCTTGAAATGCTGTATTGATGGCAACTATTTCTGAATTGTCAATATTTATGAATGAATCGGGAATGGAGGCTCAAAAGAATTCTAAATTAAATAAATAACTCAAAGTAAGAAATAAGTGAAGAAATAATGTTGAGGCTGTTCTTTTGAAATAAGTCAGTTGGCATTTTTTTTTGTGTGTCTTTTTCCTTTTTATTGGTACCGGGGATCGAACTCAAGACCGCCTGCTTGCAAGGCAGGTGCTTATGTCGCTGAGCTAAATGCCCAGCCCCTCAGTTGGCATTTTTTAAGGATGGGTTCCGAGGCCGAGTGCAAAATGATTCTGAGAGGACATAGCCCTGACTTTTGGGTCACATCTTTCACTTTTAATCTTTGTGGAAAGTCTCTGAAATGTAAACTCTTTGATGATGTGATGGCATAATAAAATAGAGGATTAACTGAGGTCTTTGTTCTGCTTCTAATTAACTGTATAATTTTGGGGGAACTTCTCATCTACCATATTTGTGTCCCTCTTAACTACTGTAGAGCTTCTCCAGGTCAAATAACCATTAAAACTAGAAATTTGGGGACATATTCATGAGTTATAATTTATTGAGCAGATAGCATGTTGTCATACATTGTCTTAAGTAATATATGGTCCTTCCAGAAGTCTACAGTCTAGAATTTAACTAGCAAGTGAGTATTTAGGTCCATCTACTTTTTATGTTATTAGAAATATCTAGATAAAGTACAACTGTGATATTTGCATAGACGCAAATAGATTGTCATTTGATATTCATTTAGTATCAGGATCATGCTTGATGTTGCTTGATGCATAGGAAATAGTGGGCTGTAATTATCTTCCCATAATGCATATTCACTTAATTTTTTATTTTGGGTCTAAAATGTGTAATTTAGATCATAACAGTAGTTCCTTGTTTAGAAGATGTTAAAGAGGCACAAATATAACTATCTACAGGGTGGTAAGTGCTATAAGTAAATACGCTGTTTTGAGGAAGGCACACCCAAGCCAGATGGGTGCTGGCACTTGTAGTTGGCTGCACCGCGCTTTGTGGAGAAAGTAATGTAAATAACTGGACCTCGAGTGTCGAGCAACAGCTTGCAATGTGAAAAGTGATAGAATTAATGGAGTGATTAGGCCTTTATCTGCCCAGGTACATCAGTATTTCAGATTGTTAATGTCGGGGCCAGGAGAACATCATTTTTTAAATATGTAATGTTGAAATGTTAGTGATGAGGAGTTAGTGTTTTGTTGTTTTGGGATATAACATTTCATTTGCAACCTTTTCTTCAATGTTTGTGTTTATGTTTGTATGTGTATTTCAGAAAGAACACCCAGGTTAATGCCCGATAAGGGAAGCATGTATTACCCACGGGTGCAGCATTACCGAGAACTTCTTGACTCCTTGCCAATGGATGCCTATACACATGGCTGCATTTTACATCCTGAGCTCACTGTGGACTCAATGATCCCAGCTTATGCGACCACAAGGATTCGCAGTATGTAGAAATTTTAAAGACCTAGAATTCTGCCTGAAGTTTCCTTTAATTTTCTTTTGAGATCTGGCAGGTCTCCTGTCACTGAGAGAAGATTGGGAATAGAGTGTTGAGTTTGTGTGGATGTGCTTATTATGCATTGTCCAAGAACCAGTGTGATTAATCTGCTCGTCAGATGTCAGATGGACACTTATTGCCTATGGGACGTGATTCATTAGCTCTTGGCTTTGAGGACCAAGCTTGGATGATGTTTAGTAGTATGGCCTATGGAAAAGTGGAAAACATAACATGTCCTCGTGGACAGATGAACTGGGAGCCGGGAAACTGCAATTTGCCTGGGATGATGGGCAACTAAGTTCATATTTCTGATCCTTAATTGTTTCACTGTGTGAGAGCTGGATTAGAGGTGATGATTACCTCTGCCTTCAGTAATCAGAGATTTATCAAGGTTGAGTGTCACTCAACTCCCTTACTCTTGTCATGGGAGAGTCAAGACAGGGTGTGAGAGAAAGAAGGAGGTGTGCTCTGCAGTGTAGGTGACTGAGGCTAGGATGGCTGCAGGTGGTGACAGTGGTCAGATTCTGGAGTGTTTGACAAGAAATGCTCAGTCTCAGGTCTTCCAATGCAGAAATCATGTTTTCCTATTACATGTTACCTCACCTTTATCATTCTTACGTTATTGTCTTCCCTCTTTGAGACCTTTTTTTCCCCCTCTCCTCATCTTATCTTTCTCCTATTTCCTTTCTCCCCTTTCTTCTCTTCCTACTTCTTGTTCCTCCTCCTCCTCTTCATAAATGCTCGTTACATGATTTGAAGCATGTATTCTACTCACAATTATATTACCTATGTTGACATTATTTTAAAAATAAGCGTTTTCCCTTCCCTTCATTTGCCTGTTCATTCTAGAAAAACTGAGAAGTATGGAGAGAGGGAGCAACTCACCTTCAAGGGGATGAAAATGCCCTGGGCCTTCTGTCAGTCCCTCCCAGTGCTTCTCAGTTGGCCTTCTGCCTGTGTGGCAGGTGCTACTGCTCCGTTTTAAAAGTGAAGATACTGAGGCACAGACACAGTATATTTGAAGCAGTAGCTGGCATCAGCCCCAAAGCTCATGTCCCTGCCATTGCTATTTCTCCTTGTGACTAGTACAGAAGGGAGAGAATACTTTTCTATTAAAAATGTTTTTTGTTTGGCAGGCCAGATTGGTAATACAGAGTCGGAATTGAAGAAACTTGCCGAAGAAAACCCTGATTTACAAGAGGCTTATATCGCTAAACAGAAGCGGCTTAAAGTAAGTGAGCAGGCTATTGTCAAATGACATCCACTTTTGTATTGTGTTTTTTTCTATAAAGGAATAACACTACTTCTAGAACATCTTCTATTAAACATTGTGATCCACCAGTGTGTATATTACCTTTGGCTTATGCATTGCTTTTAGAATTTCTTTATTATATTTGATGGTTAAACTCCATGGCAGTTGCTTAAGAAGCAGATATTGACCTTTCTGGTTGCCACAGAAAGTTACAAAATGCAAAACAAGGTTAATAAAAAACTTTGGCAATTTGTCATTTCAGGTAGTGCCTCATGTTAAGGTCTAACTAGACCCATGTCCCTGTGCATGTTACACTGATTGACTCTGTCCCTAATGAGGAGCATCTGTTACAGTCAGCCTTTTGCATTCTGTTGAATCTTTCCTCACTGACAGACATCGAAGCTTCTCCCATATTACAGGTGTAGAAACAGCAGCCCTCCAAGCCCTCCCTTGATTTGCCAGCTTCATTTATCCTCTTAATGAGCCCTCAGAAGAAATGCCTGTGTACGTAGTCGTCTTCCACACAATCCAGTCACTGCAACCAGACTTCTGCCTTGTTCCTGGACTTCTGATTACTCAGTTACTTAAGGCTGATTGAGTTGCATTCTTGAGTGGGGCAGGAGAGGAGTCTCCTTATCATTTATGTTCTTTGGTCTCCCCCGTCATCTGGCCTCCCAGGAGTTATCAGTGAGCACTGGATTTTCTCTGGGGTTATTTTCACAGTGGGAGTATTTTCACTCTATTTTGGTCAGGTTTTTCTTTAACAAAATTATTCTGTTTCAAGCCATTGTCTAAAATAGGTTCCAACTCTATATAAAAGTTTATATCTACTTTGCACCAGATTTTTTAAAAATAATTTTTTATTTTAAAAAATAAAAGGATAGAAATGAAACAGAATTTCAAAAAAAGTAGGAAATTAACACTAGTTAATATATTGCATACTGTTGTTTTAGAAGTAGTTTGTCCAGATGACAAGATTTAGGCATGAAAAACATGACTGAACAATCAATGAAAGAAGAAAAACTGTTCTTTTTGATGAACTTACAAGAAAAGAGAAAAGGAAGAAGGGAAAAGATTACATGTGAATGTATATACATGTATACATGCACCAGTATTTTTTATGGGCAAAAATAAACTGTTTAGTTTCTCTTTTTGGTTGTTAGTCAAAGCTTCTTGATCATGACAATGTGAAATATTTGAAGAAAATTCTTGATGAGTTGGAGAAGGTATTGGATCAGGTTGAAACCGAGTTGCAAAGAAGAAATGAAGAAACCCCAGGTAGGTTCTCATTTGTACTCTTTTTGTTTCTTTGTTTAATCACCAGAAATCTTTATGGGAACATTCTTAGAGTTCATCAAATACATCCTTTAATTTGTTTATCTTTGTTATTCATGGGCAGCTTTAATTATGATACTGACAGTGCCATTAAAATTAAGGTGTCTAATTGTAACTCAGTCTGTAGCTGAAGTGTGACTTGTGAAGGATTTTCTTGCACCAGTTAAATGATGGTTAGAAGAACCATCTGTTAGGAAAACCTAATCTGTTTTAAAAATTTGTAATTTCAATGGTTTGGTGAAGTAATTTAATATTTTGAAGTCCTTCTAGTTCTTTCCTTAGGGAAACAGCTTCTAAAGTGTAAAGTAGGGGCCAGTGTGTGTGTGTGTGCCTGTATACTGTACTTGTGAGTGTTACTTTCAAATCAGTGTCTAAGTATATACTCATGGACTTCGTGCTACTCTAAATGATAACCATGTTATCTGAAACTTGCTTCTCGATAGGGCTCTCTTTTGCTTTAAGTACAGTCATCCGTGTCCAGGAAGGAGTGACTTCAGGGTCCCATGAGAATACCAAAATCTATGAATGCTGAAGTCCCTTGTATAAAATGTTGTGATATTTGCAAGTACTTATCCTCTTGTATACCTAAAATTATCTCTAGATTACTTCAAATACCTACTATATTGTGAATGCTATACAAATAATAGATATATTATTTAATAACAAGAAGAAGTTATGCATGCTCAATACAAATGCCATTTTGTTTTTCAAGTATTTTTGATCTGTGGTTGGCCACTGAATAGTTTCAGGTATAACTTCATGGATTTTTCTTATAGCATACCTGTTGTTTTTTAAATCAGAAGTGTCTGTTAATCTTTTAACTCCTCTGGATCTGTAAGCTGTCACCTTCAGAGTTATTTACAAAATAGTAGAAAGTTTTTGAGTTTAAGTTGTTCCAGTTTTGCCTGGGGACTTAGGTAGCTGAAAAATGGTAAGCAAGTCTTCTTTAGCTTGGAATATATTTGAATGAACCTTTTTTTGTTAAGCATAAAATTGCTCACTAAGTGACTGTCAAGAAAATGTGTACCATTTTGGTCAATTCACAGTTGCCTTTAAGACAGTGACTACAGATAGGATTTTCTAGAGTTTCTTTGTACAGTACTTTCATTAATACTCTGTGTCCTTTTCTCTAATTAGAAGAGGGCCACCAGCCTTGGCTCTGTGGAGAATCTTTTACCCTGGCAGATGTCTCTCTTGCTGTCACATTGCATCGCCTGAAGTTCCTAGGGTTTGCAAGGAGAAATTGGGGAAATGGAAAGCGACCGAACTTGGAAACCTATTACGAGCGTGTCTTGAAACGAAAAACGTTTAACAAGGTTTTAGGACATGTCAACAACATATTAATCTCTGCAGTGCTGCCAACAGCATTCCGAGTGGCCAAGAAAAGGGCCCCAAAAGTTCTTGGCACTACCCTTGTAGTTGGTTTGCTTGCAGGAGCAGGATATTTTGCTTTTATGCTTTTTAGAAAGAGACTTGGCAGCATGATGTTAACATTTAGACCCAGACCAAATTACTTCTAGTTTTGTTGGGATCTGGTGGTGGCAACTCACCCAATCATTCAGCTAGACTCTTGTCCACTCTTCCAGGCCCAGTGAAGAATTATCCCAGGCAACTAGTTAGAAGCATAATTCACATTACTCTTTGGATAATTTCTATGGGGAGAGATGGTTATGAAAATGTTTTTGTAGGCAGATAAGTGAGATGACTTGTTTGCAAATGTGAACTATATATTCTTAAAACATGTGCAAGGTCAAGATATATAAATACTGGTAGAGCATAGACCTTGAACCCAATCCATTTCAGGATCAACTTAAAGTAATTCAGGGAGAAGGTTATTATTATGAGCAGAAGAATCAATAATCGTGACTACCTATAGCTCTCCAGTTGAGATTATCTGCATATGTTGATTGTTAGGTACAGTGTCTTTCCATAGAACTCAGAAGTCATTTTTGTACCCAACACAGAGGTTCAGACAGCATCAGAACCTCACACTGCTTTATCTTACCACTGCTAGTCTCAGGCAGATATATGGGAGTCAAAAAGAAGAGAAAGAAGGAAGAATAGGAGAATGAAACCTATACAGAGTAGAGCGGCAGACTGTAACGTCCAGTTTTCTCCAGTGTCACTCATGGTTGCCTGCTTCTTTGCTAAACACTACATTTAACTGCTCATGTCCACAGCTTGCACATATACTCCTGTAATTGAAAACTTTAGGGAAGAGAGGGCTGGGAAGTTACTAGGGAGCAGGGAGCTGGAGAGAAGCCCAAACTTTATGTATATTGTACCTTACTTGACCTTAAATACTTGTGGACCATACACATTGATTTAGTAAGATTAAGTGATTATATACTTGAGCCGTGATGCCCATTGGAATATGTCTGCGTAGCGTTTACATGAATGTCTTAAGTGATACGAAGACTGTTCCTTCTGGCCTTTAATTCATTGGGGACCATGTGAAATATTCTTGTCTACCACTGTGTCCAGTTCTGAGAAGCTTGGCCTCTACAACCCTCTTTGTACACGTAAGTGGCAAGTAGATGAATGTCCCAGATCATAACATGGGGTGTGGCTGGGTAGTTACTTTTGAGGAATATCAAGTACCTTCAACCTTCGTTTTGATTGGCTAATACATTAGTACAAACTGTTGTATAGGCCTTCCATCTATATATTTATGATTGTCCACAAAGTCTTAAGAAATTAAAGAGGAAGAGAAAGGGCTAGCCTTTGCCTTTGGCAATTAATCAGAGAAGAAATGTAATGAGACCCACCTGTAACATCCATGTATGTGAAGACATTTTGGAGATACCTCAGTCCACCTGGAGTACACAGTCACAATCATTCAACGAGTAGTGGAATTGTAATGTATAGTGTGTCTTCCAAAAAGTCTTCCATGGTGTCAGGAAAGCAGTTGCTTCTGAGCTGGCCATCAAGGTCTCCAGAGCAGTTCCAGGCATCTTGTGGGCAGATTGTACAGAGATGATGAACTCTTTTAGAGCGTAATAAAAGCTCATTTGTATTGTCTCAGGTGGACTGTGAAAATAGCCAAAGAATGTACCGATTCTTTCATTAATACAAGCAGTCAAACCTGGGAAGCAAGACTTTTTGATGGTAAAATGATTTTGTACTTCCATTTTGACTCTACATTCCATTTCATGATCTAGTTATTGAAAACCTTGGTAAACTGGATATACCCTGTTGATGAAAAATTAAAACCTCCAGACTGAACTTAATCTAATGGTAATGAATATAGGTTCAGCTTTTATAATGTCTTAATTTTGCAAACCAGTGTATCACCTCAAGGAGTATGTGAATCTGTTTGTTCTCGGAGCATTCCAATCTTCGTGCTCATGAAAGAGTCATATAATTGATTATTAACTAATTTATAGTGTTTCAGAATCTTTTATGACAGTCTGTTAATAACAAGAACTGAGATACAAAGAAATAAAAATTGGCTTTAAAAATCTACAAAGGATATTTACCTGTGAAAGGGTTGTTGATTAAGAATAAAATAGAAATCTTAATTTTCTTTCAATGTATATATGACTGAATCAGAGGAAATCTAGGAAATATTTACAACTTTCTTATAAAATTTTATTAGAGATATACTTTTGTCAATATTAAAGATGAAGCTTCCTAGCAATTTTACTTGTTTCATGGGTACTCTTACCAGGTTTTTTAAAAAAAAAAAAATTAGTGATGTAATGACCGCTAGATGCCGCTGTTCATCCAGTGGTCTAAGGGAGTGTTTATCAGGTTCAGCCTGTTCTCTGAAATGTTTTAAGGGAAGATAAACATGAATGACCTTATCTCTGAACGGGACATCTTCATCAGATTATTCATCTGTAAAAAAAAGCTTGAGAAAATGTAACATGGATTTCTTTTGCTTTGTGAGTAATAACAGCACCGTACCATGTCAAGCTAAACAGTTGAACATGCACCATTAGGTAAATAGGCACTTTTACATATCTTCTTTTTCATGATCACTAATGATTGGCCAGTATGCTCCTTGTTTTCCAAAAGTGTCACAAGTAGAAAATGCCTGAGGTAGTAAAACTATTGGCTATTATGTTTTAATACTCATACATTCTCTTTGATTGTTGTTGTAATTATGTCTTCTAAATCTCAAATCCTTGTAAATTGCTTGCTCAATTTTTAGTAATTATTGATATTGATGCCAGAATTGTAGATTTTTGTTGGCATTGACTATTATAGAAAAACAAATATTCTATTCTGTCTGTAAGATTGATAAACATAATTGAAAAATAAACATGAACCTGAACACAAAGTTTCATTTTGTAATCTTTCTGGGGAAAAAGATGTATTTTTTTTTCTTTCATTTAAAATCAAAGGATCATGTGATGAGTAGGGTAAAATAAGCTGAAATTAGATTCAAGATATTTAGCTATAGAATGTCATACTTTACTTATAACATAAAAACTACTGATTCAGGGGCTGGGGATTTAGTTCAGTGGCATAAGTGCCTGCCTTGCAAGCAGGCAGTCGTGAGTTCGATCCCCGGTACTGATAAAAAGGAAAAAGACAAAAAAATAAATGAATAAATAAATAAATAAACCCTACTGATTCACTTCATTTAAAGATGCACAATTTTGTGGTTAAAATGAATTGCACTTTAAAAAATAACATTGATCCTTTGCAACAGGCTCCCAAATAAGTGCAAACTTGAGTGCGATATAATACTATGAAAGTATTTATCTTTTTTTTTTTGTCTTTTTCCTTTTTATCGGTACCAGGGATTGAATTCCTGACTGCCTGCTTGCAAGGCAGGTGCTTATGCTGCTGAGCTAACTCTCCAGCCCTGAAAGTATTTATCTTTGTAAAATTATTTTGTTATATGTTAATAAGTTTTATATATTACCCTCAGGATATTTATGTGTATGTTTGAAATAGCTAGTTCTTTTATTAAGTTTGAATTATGAATAACCAAGTTATCATCCACATTTCTGTCCTTGGTAAGCTTAGCCATTGTTTTGATTATCAAACAAATTGAGTACTGTTTTTGTTTTATACTTACTAAGCAAATTAAGGGGAAATTTAATTGATGTTGTTGTCCCTGAGTTTACAACAACAAATGGCAAACATATTTAAAATACATGGAAAGTCAGTTGACTATGTAACTCTAGTCTTCTTGGAAAAGAAAAAATCACCATGGTAATGATATAAAAAAGTAAAATTAGTCCAATAAATAAATCAGTATTTAGACATAACTGTCATATAATTTATATTAAATACTGATCTGTTTATTTTGTTTATCTCTACTTACCTCAGATTGTTTTGTTTTTCTAATACTCTAGAACAGTATGCTACTAGGTAAGGTAAAAGTTTACAAACTGAGTGAGAAAGTATAATTTCAGCTTCGAAGATAGTTTATTTTAATTGTGTATTATTGCATTATGAAAATGAAGAGGAACTAAGTTCATGGGTTAGAAAGGCAGTGTTGATTAAAACAATCTGTTATCATTTGCATTTGAAGAGAAGAAAACCAAGCAAAACAAAACAGAACAAAGCCCATGAAAATGAACCATTTGACACAGGACTTCAAAACGATAGGAAATCAACAAGTGGTTACCATAATGCCCCCTACTGTCTTCAGATAGCTTCAGATACCTTCAGACAGTAAAAGTTAAACAAAACAGAACAGAATAGAACCTAAACGAAGCAATGAATGCAATAAAGAACTTCAAAACAAGGTAATAGTAAATCCAAAATGGCTTCCATAATATATATCTTCCTTGAAATAGCTGCCCATGCCATTGGATACAATAAAATCAAACAAAACAGAGCAAAATGCAACCCAACAAAATAATGAAAATGACACAGGACTTTAAAATAAGACATTAGGGAATCAACAGTGGCCTCAGAAGGAGATCCCTCATAGACGCTACATTGCCTGTTACCATCCTCTGAATAGATGATCAGACCACTAACTTTAGTCCTGCGAAGTTAGTGAAACACTAAATACTGCAGCATTAAATTGTATTCCACTGCAGTAGCCATCATTTCAGCTTGTGTTTCCCCAGATTAGCCAGTAGCTTACAGCAGTGGGGGTGAGGATGGGGGTTATCTCTTCTTGTTTCTCAGCCTACATGCTGGAAGGGGCTGGCATCTGGCTATCTCCACAGTGGCTTGTGCATGGCGCTGATCTGCAGGGAGGGCTTGCTTCTTATTCTTTTCCCCACAGTCCGCGGATGGCACTGACTCACAGGAAAAGGCTGGTGTCTGGCTGTACCCATAGCAGCCTGTGTATGGCACCGATTTGCAGGGAGGGCTTGCTTCTGTGTGACTTCTTGTTCTCTTCCTCTGCAGTATGTGAATGGCCCTGATTCACGGGAAAAGACTGGCATCTGGCTGTCCCCACAGTGACCTGTATCATTTGCATTTGAGTTGGGTGGTTACTTGTCATAGGAAGATTTGACAGATGGGGAAGAAGGTAGTGAGGTAGTGTGTGTAGTAAAAGTAACATCATGTAGGGCTTGAGATGAAACATTCCTATAATGAGTTTTGATTAACTTCATTCATGTAGGATGTTGCATCTTCTCCAGACTACTTCATCATAAAACTCTGGAAGAAGTTTCATGGAAAAGTTATGTTTTTCTTTTACTTTGCATCACTTATGTATTGGCTGTTTGAATGCACTATCATTAAACTCTCTTTATACAGGTATCCCAGTTGTATGAAGATGTTGATGAAATATAATGCAAGGGGTCGTTCCCATGCTAACAGCAACACTCACATCTATATACAAATTTAATTCCTAAAGTAATTGGCAGACATATGGCCAGCATATGTAAGTATCATATTTTTTTCAGTCATCAGAGTAAATTATTTTAAATTTAAGAATCATATTTATATCCATAAAATCATTAAATACACAAGATATGTTTTCAGAGATCCCATATTAAGGTTAGTGTGAAAAAGTTATATTAAAAAAAGAAAGTTATATGAATTAGAAAATGTTAGTACTAAAAACAGAAGTGGATCCATTGTAAAAATGGCCACAAATTCTTCTCATTACTTATCCCCTTGCAATGTGATGTTTCAAACCTTCCCATGAAGAAACAGCATTTGTAGAGCAAGAGGACATAAGGCTTACCAGAGAGCACCTCACTAGCAATACTAGACATCAAGCTATATTGAAAGTCGTTGGAGCTCCATTCTAGAGGGCAAGGGGGCCTCCAGGATGCCAGGCAGAAAAAAAGACTATGCCTTAAAGTGTACAGTGTTTTTATTTGGGCACTATTGATATTGCATGCCAAGTAATTCATTGTATGGAGCTGTTCTGTGTGTTGTAAAATGTGTTCCCTCTAAAATATTGGTAGTGTCTTGTACCCTAAGTTGTGACAACTCAAAATGTCTTCATATGTTGCCACATGTCACTGGGGAAAAAATCATCTCTTGATTTTTCAAGTTGAAGATCACTGCTCAGAATTCACTGTAGCAGAGACTAAAACCAAGCCCTCACAAAATGTGCTGGGGAGATATATTTTGGAAGTTGATTCTTGCCAATTTAGAGGTACTTGAGAAGTAACTTAAGGTTCTACATATCTTCTGTGACAGAATATAAAGCCAAGTGTACCTGATGTAAAGATAGTAGCTGAATTGCCTAGCAGAAAAGAGCAGTTTTCAGAAGGAAGATAATGGAATCTAGTCTCTGTATGGTAAACCATGTCCAGTAGACAGTGAAAAGTTACTAGATAAGCAAAACTACAGAATCATAGTCAATGAACAGTAGCATTAAGTAGAAATAGAGTGAGACTTTAAAGCAGCTAACAAATAGTATATGTTTATAGAACTAAAAGAAAATTTAGTCTGATTGCATCAACACAGGAAATACTAGCAGAGGAAAACTGTTAGAAGAAAACCTAGAATACTAGAATAGAAAACTACATGATGATTCACTGGACATATTCCATGGTTATTAGATTATGAAGAATGGGGAAGGATGTGTGAGTATAAAATAACAAGTGGGAAGTGGGAGAAAGGGAGTGGTTTAAGTTTCAAGTGTAAAGTAATACACACTAGTATTGTAAATAGACTAGGCTGAATTAAGAGTACAGTGTTAGCCATGGGGAAAAATAAACAGTAATTAAAAAGTAACAACACAATAGATGGAATAGAATGGGAGAAACAGCAGAACCTAGAAATGGGACAAATGGAAAACAAACACCAAGGTTGTAGACTTAAATATATTATACTCATTATGTGTAAACTTTTTTGTTTGTTTCTTTGAGATAGGGTCTTGCTATGTATGTAGTTCAGACTGGCACTGAACTCACTTTGTGGGCCAGGCTGGCCTCAAACTCACATTAATCCTCCTGCTTTGGCTTCCACAGTACTGGGATTACTGGTGTGTGCCATCACGCCCAGCTTGTAAATATTGTTAATTGTAAAATGATTCAATTGCCAGTTGGTGATCATCAAATTACAGTAGATTAGAATAGAGATATGTGCAAGAATACTGTCTGTAAGAGATGTATTTTAAAGTGTTGTATAAATTGAACATAAGAGTATGGAAAATGATATGCTAGACAAATAGCCTGAGAAAGCTGCTCTGGCTATTTTAATTTGAGAAAAAGTAATTTTAACACCAAGGAACAAATAGGGATACTCTTAACAAAAACAATGATTCATTAGGAAGACATAATAATTATAAATATATGTTTAACTAATAACAAAATTTCATAGTTTATGTATCCCAAACTGATAACTGAGGGAAAAATAGTTTTTTTTTAAGTTGGAGAATTTTATAACCTTTCTTTCATCATAATTTATGAATTAATAATTAATAGAACAAGTAGACAAAAGTTCAGTTTGAATATAGAATATCTAAATATACTATCAACAAACTTGAGTTAATTGACATTTATAAGACATTGTACCTAGAAGCTGTGAAATAAACATTTCTTGAAGTATATATGGAAGACCCATCAAGGTAAGTGTATGCTAGATCATAAAACAAATATTAGCAAATTTCCAAAGATTACCCTTATTACAGAATATATTCTATAACCACGAAGGATTCAAATTAAAGTCAATATTTAAACTATTTTTAAAATTTCCAAGTATTTGGAAATTAAGTAATACATATATGAATAATGGCTAAAAGAAAAAAATCATGAGGATAAAGAAATAGTTTGATATGGATGATAATGAAAATATGACATTTCAAAATTTATGAATACAGTAGAGGCAGTGGTTGGGAAAAGTTATAAGTTTAAATATCTATATCAAGAGAAAGAAGGTTTAAAATTGGAATAATCATATATA